CGGGGTGCCCCCCCCTGCTCCCCTGCCCCCCATGATGCGGCCGCCGCTCCCCACGGAGGGGCCGGGCACCATCCCCCCTCCCCCTCCCTCCAACTGAAGCCCCTCCTGGACTCCATCCCGTGGGATTTTTGTCTTTTTAACTGCAGCTCACCCCCCATTCAGGGAACAGATCCTTTTTGTACCTCTGGAAAGCTGGCTGAATTCTGTAGGCTCATTAAAAGGTTTTTGATTCTCCTTTCCCTCTGGTTTCCTGTGCTGCTGTGGGCTCGCTTTCCTTACCCCTTAGATACAGGAGACATTCCTAGGCTGGTTACATTTTGGAAATTCTCCAAAGAGGAGGCAAAGGATTGGGAATCTCAAGGTACCCCCCTCCATCAGCTGTCTTGGCCTGGAATCCCCCTCAGGCTGCCTGATGAGTGTCCCAAAAATTACCCCCCATTATTCAGTTTTGATTCAACCAAAGCCCTTCATCTCTGTTCATTCACTGAGGGGGGACATGGAAAGGCTCCTGTTACTGATATTAAATCTTAATTTATTATTATAATTCATTAAGTGTCAGTACCATGGTGTAGCACCTGCTGTCACATGATTTTATTGTGTGCCCTCCTCCCACTGACAGCTCTGTTCAGGCAAGTTTTTAGTTCTCTGTAGGTTTTTTTATCCTGAATGTTTCCTTCCAGCCATCGCTTGGTTCCCATAACAAAACACCAGCAGTTCTGCCATTTCTCTGCCCTTTCCCAGGTTCCTGCCCTGAACTGGGGGGTCAGTGGGGGATCCTGGGGGGCTCAGTGGGTGAGGGCGTGGCCAGGGCTGGGGTTCCTGACCAGTTCTGGTTGTTTGAGGGGCCATGGGAGCCCTGCAGCTGCACCCCCTTGATGGGGGATCAAAGCCTTCCTCTCTGCTGCTGGGATGAGATGGTCCCAGTCAGTTAAGTCCCAGACTGGTTTGATTGGGAGGGACTTTAAATCCCATCTCATCCCACCCCTGCCATGGCAGGGACACCTTCCACTGTCCCAGGCTGCTCCCAGCCCTGCCCAGCCTGGCCTTGGGCACTGCCAGGGATCCAGGGGCAGCCACAGCTGCTCTGGGCACCCTGTGCCAGGGCCTGCCCACCCTCACAGGGAACAATTCCTGCCCAAGATCCCATCCAGCCCTGCCCTCTGGCAGTGGCAGCCATTCCCTGTGTCCTGTCCCTGCAGGCCTTGGCCCCAGTCCCTCTGCAGCTCTCCTGGAGCCCCTTCAGGCCCTGCAGGGGCTCTGAGCTCTCCCTGGAGCCTTCTCTTGTCCAGGTGAGCACCCCCAGCTCTGCCAGCCTGGCTCCAGCCCTGGTGCAGCTCCCTGGCCTTTGTCAGCCCCTGTAGAAGTGACCTCAGACTCCTCCAGACCTCACTGTGTCCATGTCCTGCTCCAGTTTGGGTGCTCCATCCTTTTCTGATGATCCTGAGCTCCACAATGCAAATAGTTGGAAACTCAGGGAAGGGTCTGGAAGTTTTCTGTCGGGACATTTCCCCTTGCCAAAATCAGGAGATCTCTTGGGACAGGTTTCCAGGATGGTTTAGGCAGGTGGCTTTGGCAATTCCAACTGTTCCAGTGGGTCTGAGCATGTCATGGAGGGAAAGGTCTTTACAATGGTGTGTGTGAGACTTTCTAAAGGAGGTACTGAGTGCTCAAAGTCCTCAGGCTGCTGCTGCCCCTCGTGTTTCTCATTCCCAGGATGAAGCCCTTTTCCAGGGCAGCCTGTTGAGCTGCAGGGTGAAGGTTTTCCAGCCAGAAGAAGGAATGCTTTCCATACATTTACTTATTTCAGCCCATTTTCTGCCCCTGTCCCCCTCCTCCTGCTCTGGCTCTCTCTCCCCTCCCGGTGTTTCAGTGCTGATGGGGTCGTACGTGCCATTCCCCATGAGGATCCCATTCCAGACACATCCTCCTTTAGAAAACATCCAAAGTCAAGGCCGTGCATCCCTACGAGCGAGTGCAACAGCTTCGATCTTTGCACGTTTCCAAAACGAGCTGCAGACCCAAAAATAGAACAAAAAAAGTTTCTTTGCCACCTCCCTCGCTCCTCTGCAGCGCGACAGCCCCAGGGCGGCTCAGGGGAGGTTGTTGTGCCTCGGCCACTCAAGGCCACCCGTGGTTAAAAGGGAGAGCTGTCCTCCCTCTTCCTGCCGAGGGCTTGGGATCCTGAGCTGCTCCAGGGAAGAGCTGAGGTGGGACCATGAGCGCTCTCAGAGGGCTCCTGCTGTGCCTGGTGCTGCTGCTCCCCTCTGCAGCTCTGCCCAGGAAACAGGGAAGGGATTCCCTGGTGGAGCTGAGCCTGCTGGAGGAGCCGGGGCTGGGAGCAGAAGGGAGAAAGGTGGGAAATGGAAGTTCACAGGAGACACCCAGGTCCAGGAGGGCTGCTGCCACTCGCCTCTTCTCCAAGCCTGAGCCGGGAGCCAAATGCCCGCAGGAAGTGGCTGAGGAGGGGGGCCCGAGCTGGTCCCGCTCTAGCCCGCAGCCCTGGCCCCTCGGGGGCCTGGAAGGGCCCGTGTGCAGGGTGAGGATGGAGCAGGACGGGGCCAGCCCGAGGCAGCTGGAGGTGGTGGGTGTGCTCAGCCACTACGAGAGCAGCTTCATCAAACTGCTGAGACGGCGCCGGAGCTGGGACGGGAACTTGGCGGGGACCTTTGGGCTGTGCCGGCCCGGGGAGGCGGAGGCTGCGCCCCATCCCCTGCAGAGGATCCACGAGCACGTCCTGGAGCCGGGGCTGGAGAGATTCCTCGTCCTGCACCTGGAGGAAGGTTGGTGGGAGAGCCCTGCAGGCTCCGAGGTGGAACAGGGAGGGGAAGGATGTAGGGCTCGGGGTTGTGGTGTTTGCTGGCCCCAAGTCAGGGATTTAAACACAGAATGAAATCTGGGGCTTGGGTTCCCTTTAAAAACAGCGAAGTGATGGAGTGAAATGTTTCTGGGCATGTTTTTAAGGAGGTGAGGATGGCAGCGTGGTGCTGCCATCTGTCCCCGCCTCTGACCAGCACCCAGTGCCGCATTCCAGCAGCGTTTGGGCAACACTCTCAGGGGAGCACAGGGTGGGATTGTCGGGGTGTATGTGCAAGGCCAGGGGTGGGACTGGTGATTCTTGAGGGTCCCTTCCATCTCAGGATATTCTATGATTCTTGGTGGCTTCTGCTCTGCTCTCATGAGTGTTTCTCACTTTCTGCCTAAACACGGCAGATGGGTTTGGGTCCCATCCCAGCTCTGGGGAGAAAGGAGGGGCTCAGACCCTGCTGCTCCTGCTGTGCCCGGAGCCCGGCACGTTCTGATCCCCACTCGTGGGGCTGTGGAGCAGCCCGGGGTCCTGGGCTGCTCCTTATTTTCAGCCCTGTGGGAAACCTCACCACACATTCCCCTGTCCCATCCTGGGGCTGATCCCCGTCCTGGAGAGGGATGGAGTTACAGCCTCCAATTCCATCCGTAACGAGAGGGCTGTGATTGCTTCTTTCATCCTGAAATCTTCCACCTCTCCTGGGCTTTGGATTCTCAGCTGCACTCAGCAGTGCCAGGCAGCGGGGAAGTGGCTCCTCCTCGGGCAGTGGCCACAGCGTCCCCGAGCCTCTGGAGAGCAGATTTCCATGGGGTCTGCGGGAGGCAGCTCCCTGCTGGCCGGGTGCGGGGTGTGTCCCGCTCTCCACCTCCCTGGAGCCGGGGAGGGGATTTGCTGAGTCCCTTCTCCCCGTCGGCTCCTGTCCCGGTGCTTCGGTCCCGGAGCCCCTTCCCCATACCCGGAGCCCCGCGGCGCTGGAGGGGATTCACGGCCGTGTCTCCCCCGTTCCAGTGCAGTGGGAGGCGCAGGTGAAGCTGCGGTTCCAGCTGGTTTTCCAGGAGGAGGTGGGACGGGCTGTGGGAGAGCTGCAGGCGGCCGTGATGCTCTTCTACCTGGGCCGCCGGGAGGGCCGGGGCTCCGGGCACCCGCAGGAGCTGCTGGCCACCGGCCCGGGGCTGCCGCGGGACCAGGTGGGTCCGGGCCCTGGGGGGAGCAGGGGGCGGGGGGGGGGTCCCGGCTCTGCTGCCCCGTGCCACTGTCATCCCTCCCAGTCCATTCAACAGCCCCTCCAGCTCCCTTTGTTATCCCCTCCCAATTCATTCATCGTTCCTCCCAGTCCATTCACAATCCCCTCCCAGTCCATTCACCGTCCCCTCCCAATCCATTCACAATCCCCTCCCAGCCCCTTTGTCACCCCTCCAGTCCCTCGGCCAGCCCCTCCCAGTCCCTTTGCCGTCCCCTCCCAGCAGCTCCGCCCGGTCTCCCGCTCCCGCCGTGCCTGAAGATGGAGCTCTCACCCTGTCCGCAGCTGCCGCAGCGCTAGCGGAGCTGCCCCGGTACCCAGTCCGGGCTGGGTCCTGATCCCCCGCCTGCCCTTCAGGGGTTCCCTGGGTTTCCTGCTCCCCGCGGCCCCCGGAGCAGCTCTGGGGCTGGGGGCGAAGCTCCCAGTGGTCCCCCACCCTTCCTGTCGCTGCTCCCTGGCCCACCGCGGGCTGCGTGACCCAGAGCCCGCAGGGACCGCAGCGGGGACTCCCGTGAGTGTGTCCCCCATGATGTCTCACTCACTCACTCACTCACTCACTCACTCACTCACTCACTCCCTCCCTCCCTCGGGCCTTCTGTGGTTTCTGCCTCGGTGCAGAGGCTCTGCCTCTCCAGGGACACGCAGTACCTGGCCCTGGCAGCCGCCGCAGCCTCGGTCACCCGCAGCGCGGAGCGGCTCCGCTTCTCGGCTTCCCTGGCCATCCACGGCGGCGCGGGAGGTAGGGACGGGGGGACACCCTGTGGACAGCAGCATCCCTGCCCTCGTGTCCTCGCTTGGGCCTTTGGGGTCATCCCAGGCCCACGAGAGGTGGTGGAGGCATGCAGGAGACCCCAGACCGACGTCCTCCTCTCTCGTGGCCGCAGCAGGTGCCCCCTTGCCCCGCACGGAGGTGCAGCAGCTCCTGTTCGGCTCCGATGACAAATGTTTCACCCGGATGACCCCGGTGCTGCTGCTGCTGGCCAAGTCACGGCAGCAAGAGGAGGAAGAGGAGGAAGAGGAGGTTTTGGCCCCATCCTCCTACCTCTCTGCTGAGGGGGTGGTGGACACGGCTCCGTACCCGCAGCTCAGGTTCGTGGCCGTCGCTGCAGGCACGGGAGAACGCGGGGGCTGGGAGATGAAGTGGGACAGGGACAGCCCGAGCTGTGGGACCGTGGATGGCTGTAGGGCACAGCCTGGTGGGACCCCCGGGCTGCCCCTTGTGACTCTCCCCGTGTTCTCCTTACAGCCCGCCCCAGGCCGGCACCGAGGAGCTGCCGACCCCCACTGCCCCGGGCCAAGCCAACACCTCTTCCCCAGTGCCCGGTGGCAGCGCCCAGTTCCTGGCAACCCTGACCCACTTCATCCGGCAGCTCCTGAGCTCCTCCAGCGAGCCGCCTCCCCAGCCCACTGCCCACCACCGGCTGGACTTCGAGATGATGGAGACCCTCCCTCACCAGCTGCTCAACCTGTCGGAGGAGGCGGCGCTGGAGCGGCTGGTGCAGTCGGAGGAGCCCTCGGTGCTGCTGCTGCCCCAGGACAGCGGGGCCGTGCTGGAGCAGCACCTGGGGGACTGGCAGCCAGAGGGCACCGTGCTGCAGCTGCTGATGGGCAAACTGCAGGTGGTCATCCAGGAGCTCAGGGACATCCCGGCTTTCCAAGCCAACGCGGCGCTTTTCCAGCACCTCCTGACCTTCTGCTACTACCCGGCAGAGCCGGGGCAGGCCGAGGTGGCCGAGCGGGGCCCGGGCTCTCGGAAGCTGCGCACGCTGCTGCTGCTGAAGGCGCTGCAGTCGGTGCGGGCTCGCTGGCAGGAGCGCAGGAAGGTGCAGCGGCAGAACCGCAGCGCCCGGCACCAGGCGCACTGCCGGCTGCAGGAGCTCACCATCGACCTGCGCGACCGCCACTTCATCATCATGCCCACCATGTACGCGGCCAACAACTGCGAGGGGCCCTGCCGGCTGCCGCTGTCCGCACGCATCCCCAGCTACTTCTCGCACACGGTGCTGCTGCTGGGCATGCAGGACCAGGGCTCGCCGCTGCGCAGGGCTCCCTGCTGCGTGCCCGTGCGCTACTCGGACCAGCTCATCATCAGCCTCTCCTCGGACGGGCTGGAGATCCGCAAGTTCCCCAACATGGTGGCAGAGGAGTGCGGCTGTCGGTGAGGCTCCCGCCGGCCTCGCCGCTCGCCCCACCCCGGCCCCTCTCTCCCGGTTTGCCCTCCCGGCTCGGGATCTGGTGCTTCTCCCGAGGCGGGAGCTCCCGTGTGTCCTTTCCCCATGGTTTGGCTCGTTAGCATCGCTCTGGTTCTGGGTTCATCCATGCCTGTCCCTGGGGCTGCTCCGTGCTCCTCTGGGGATGTCCCCCTCCCGTGGCTGAGGTGCCTCCGCTGGGTACGGGCACGGCAGGGCCGTGGGGGAGGACAAGGCTTGGCAGACCCAGGCAGGACCGTTCTTGTTTATCCCTCCCTCTCTGCTCCTGTAGTGGCTGGGCAGGGCAGCTGCTGCTTCCTCCAAGCCTTGCAGCATCCTCTGGCCATTCCCCAGCCCACGGCCCATCACAGGACCCCCCCTGGCCACACGGCTCCACCTGTGACAGCAGAGCAAGAGGCCAGATCCCCTCGCAGGGACCAGCCTTGCCCTGGGACACGGCTCTGTGTGAGCCACGAGGAGCCGCTGGCCGTGCCTTGGGGCTCCCGGCCAGGTCACATCTGCGTCACCCCGCGGTGACCCCGCTGCCGGGGCGAGGGGAGGAGGGAGCGATCCCATTACACCTCCCGGGCTGCTCACACCATTCATGGGAGCGGGAGCAAACGGCTGCCAGAGCACCTGCTCCGTGTCCCCGCCGGCGTCAGCACGGGCTGCCTGCCCCAGATCATCTTCCAGCTGAGCCTGGCCCTCAGCTGGGGAGCCAAACCCTCAGGAGCAGCTCCTGGGCTTGTCCTGGCTACACCTCCTCGGGTTTTGCAGTGTCCCCACGGGGAGGCACAGCTGGAGGTTGGTACTCACCAGTCCCACCTCACAGCCCTGCAGGATTAACCCTGAAAACACACACACACATAATCAGGGACAAAACACATAACCAGGGATAAGGGCTTTTATCGTTTTCCTTTCCCCCCCCCCTATTTTTTAAAAACATCCAGTTGAATACCTTATTAAAAATGAAAATAGTTTATTTTAACCACTGTTGATTTAGCAAATACTGAAACCTGCCATGGGTCAGGGCTATGAACATCTCTGGCTGTGTGATATTGCTCTTGTGTTTCCTTCCTAAAAGTGACTCGGAGAAGGCGAGGCCCGCAGGGATCCCTTGGTGAAGGGCTCCAGCCCTGCTCTGTCACCAGCACCTTCTGGGCCACCCCACTGTGATGGCACTGGGTGGGTGAGGTGGGGGGCTCTCCCTGATGTCCCTCTGAGGACAGCTGCAGCCTGGTTCCGTAACCCAGAATATTCTTCTCTCTTGATTTGCTTTCAATAAAACCATTAACCCAAGAGCTGCACAATCTGGACACAACTCTGTTCACTGGGATCCCCTCACTGCCCCGGAACCACGAGTGGAGGGGAACTGCAGAGGGATTTTGGGTGGGGATGCAGAAGGCAGGAGGCCCAAAGAAGCTTCTTCCATGAGTCCTTTCAGGTCGCCTTTGATCCAGGGGGGTCCAAAGTCCCTGGGGAGGCTCCTGCCAGGCTCCTGGGCTGCTCTGCTGCTGCTCGGGGGTCCTGGCGTGCTGCCCGTGCCCGGGGGTGTCTCTGGAGGGCAGGCAGGGGTGGGGGTCCCTTGCCGGGGGCAGTGGTGGCATTGGATCCCCCTGGATCCAGCGCCACCGAGCCCCGTGCCCACCCCGGCCTCAGTCGCGCCTCTTGCCCTCCCTGGCCCTGCCGTCCCTGCCCGGCGCCGGCTCCCAGGGCTTCCTGCCCTTCTGCTGCTTCCAGTCCCGCCTCGGGCTCTCCCGGCCGCCGTCAGCCCTGCCGGGACGGCCCCTCCACCCCTCCCTCCTGGACTCATCCCGCTCCCGCCGTCTCTCCTTCCTCTCCTTCCTCTCCCGGTCCCGCTTCTTCTGGGGCTGCTGCTCCGGTTCCCTGGGGGCCCTGGGGGCTCGGCCAGGTTTGTCCCCCGCTGTCCTGTCCTTGGCTCGTGCCTCCCTCCGGCTGCTCCGCTCCACATGGATAGCACGGCCTTCCCGGGCCTTCTTCTTCTCCTCCTTCTTGTCCTCCTTCTCCTCCTCCTCCTCCTCCTCATTCTCCTCTTTTTCTTCCTCCTTCTCCTCCTTTTCTTCCTCCTCCTCCTCCTCCTCATTCTCCTCTTCTTCCTCCTTCTCCTCCTTTTCTTCTTCCTCCTCCTCCTCCTCCACCTTCTTCTCCTGCTTCTCCTGGCTCTTCTTCCCCTCTGTCACAGCCATTGGCACCTCGGGGATATCTGCAGGTTCTTCATCCTTGTCCTCATCCTCATCCTTGTCCTCATCCTCATCCTCATCCTTGTCTCCATCCTTGTCCTCATCCTCTGGTGTTGCACGGCCAAACCACTTCTTGAAGATCCAGGGTTCTGCCTGTGGGGACAGAGGGGACCAGGAACTGATGATGCAGCCCAGGGGACTGGGTCCCCTCTCCATCCCTCCCCCTGGGGACAAGATGCTCCCTGCCGCGGGAGGTGCCACCCTGACCCGTACCAGGTTGCTGTCAGCTTCGCTGTCATAGTCATCGTCACCATCTTCGTCATCATCATCATCCTCCACCACGCTGCTCTCCGGTGGCGGCGCAGGCTGGGCAGTCACCACCTCTGGGATCTCCACCTTGGGGCTCACGACCTCTGGCAGGGGAGAGGGACACGCCACTGTCAGCTGAGGATGAGGCTGCCTGGTGGGATGTCCCAGCCAGGGGCTCTCAGGGCCGCCCCACCCTGGGACGTGGCCCTGTCTCAGGCTGGACCCGGGGCACCGGGGAGGGACGGAGGGTCGGACCCACCGGCAATGGGAGGGGGCGGAGGCTCCTGCCGGCCGCGGGCGAGTCCCTCCTTGGAGCATGGCGCTGCAAGACAGGAGGGGACAGGAGCCAGGAGGTGGCAGCTCGGGCTGGCCACCCCTTCCCGCTCCGCCCGCCTCCCGACTCACCTTGGAGCACCTGGAAGGTGACGCTGAGCAGGGCGACCACGGAGGCCACCAGGATGCACTTGTTGAGGGTGAGCCCTTCCCAGAGCAGCGGCTCCTCCGCAGGGTCCGGGCTGGGCGGCTCCACCTTGCTCTGCACGGGGAGGGTCCTGGGGACTGGTGCCCCCGGGGAAAAATGTTAAAAATGTTACTGGAGGGAACTGGGAAGAGGAAAAGGGCTCTGAGCTGAGGGGTGGGAAGAGCTCTTAGCATCCTCCTGCACAGCCCACTCAGGACAGGGACAAGGACAGGGACAGGAGCAGGGACAGGGACAGGACAGGGACAGGGCAGAGACAGGGACCCCAGGCACCCCCACCCTGACCCCGGGCACTCACATGGGCTCCACTGCTGTCCCCGTGGCTGTCGCTGCTCACCGGAGCGTTGGCATCTGTCACAGACAAGCACAGCTCAGGTGACAAACTCCTCAGGTGACAAATCTGGGCAGGTGGGAGTCACCCGGGGCTGGGGGGTGTGGGCCCCTCGGGGACACCCCAGCCTGCAGAGAGGGGACATCTGGCCGTGCTTCCCCCGTCGGTGTTCCCGTGTCACCCGTGGATGGACAGAGGTGTCCCAAGTCAGGCAAAAAGCCCCCCCAGGGATCGAGGGGTGCAATGGGAGCTCTGGGACTCTGAGCCCAAAAGGTCACCAGCCTGGATATCCCAGGGGAGTGGCAGCCAAAGGGACAGTGACCTCCCTGCCAAGGCATGTGGGGGGACCCACAGCCCCGGGTGTGCTCAGACCCCAAAAACACAAGGCTGGACACTGGAGGGCCAGAGCCTGGCAGCAGGAGAAGGCCCAGCTACCATGGAGCAACCAGACCTCCAAAAGGACTCAAGGGAGCTCTGGGAGGACTCTCAGGGCTTTTCCCAGCTGGGAAGTGGCAGAGCAAACTGAAGGTCCCCAGGAACACGAGGAAGGGCTGGGGAGGGTTTGGGCTCTAGGGGTCCTGGGGTTTCTCTGCCCTGGGAGAGCTGCAGGGATGGGAAGGCACCACAAGGTCCCAGCACCACTGGTCTCAGCCCTCGGCATCTCTGACTCCAGTGCCTCAGGTACCACATCCTCCCCAGAAGGAAGAATTTTTGCCCCCTTTGAGCCAGATTTAGTCGATTTCCCCACTGTGGAACACTGAGAAAAAGGTAGCAGTTCCCAGGAGGAAACCTGCCACTCAATGTTGGAAGCAGAACAGACAAATAGGAGGAAAACTTTTGGCCATGATCTGAAAGGTCTTTGCTTTCAAGAGGAAATAAAATGAGCCGGGTTTGTCTAAGTGATGCAAGTCTGGTCCTTTCTCTGCTGGGAAGGGATGGAGCTGCCCCAGGACTCTCGTGGTGCCTGGGGATTTCCAGACCCAGGGGAAGCACAAAGGTGGAGAACTTTTCCTCAAAGTGTTTCCCCCCCATGTGCTTGCCCTGTTTTTGAGCTTCTCAATCATTCACCCTGGTTTGGGGCACAGATGAGCACCAGGAAGGTGCAGAAGGGCCCAAGCCCCTGTTCCTCTTCTCCCTGGCCATGATCCATGCTCCCATGGAGCTGGTGTCACACAGGTGCCCCTCAGTGCCTGAGGTCACCCTGTGAAGTGACACCACCATAAAGAACCACCTCTGCCAGGCTAAGCTGTGTCCTGCAGAGTCTCACACACCACATCAGTGGCCATGGCTCACGGTGAGAACAAGGAACCTCTTCTCTTGTCCTTCTCTGGCCACCTCTGAGCTCTCTCTGCCCACCTGGACAGCCCTTAGGTGCCCTCAGGGCATCCCCAGTCTTTCTCCAATGCTGCACAGCGACAGTGTCACCTCAAGGGACCCTCACCAAACTGAGAGGGATCAAACACAGTGCCCACAGCACACCCCTGCTGGGCTGCCCAGACCTCAGCTGAGCCCGGTGCCCTGTCACAGAGTGCCAGGTTCTTCTTTCCATGTCTCCACCCCTTGGGCTTCACCCTGAAGGAGGAGCCCAAACAGACCTGGCGGCAGGCAGGTGTCCTTCCCTGCCATGTGCCCCAAAGGCATTAACTCGGCCCCAGAGCTGACCAGATCCATGTCCAGGTCTGTCCCCCTGGGCAGGAGACGGGGCTCTGTGCCCTGGCAGGAGGTGGATGCACTCTGGGGCTCCACAGCCCACGCAGGATCCTTGTCCCCAGGCAGGATGGGCTGTGTCACCTGCAGGAACAGCCGTGCTGGGCTGGTGATGCAGGCACAGGCACTGCCAAGCAGGGCAGGGATGGCCCCAGTGCCAGGGGTGGCCACAGTGCCACGGGTGGCCATCAATGCCAGGGGTGGCCACCAGTGCCAGGGACACTTTGCCCATGGCAGGGCTGGTCACCCGCAGCCCCCAAGTCCTTGCTTGCAGTGCCCCTGCCCAGGAGAGCTCCCATCCATCCATCCATCCATCCATCCATCCATCCATCCATCCATCCATCCATCCCTCCTGCCCGCCCATCCCTCTCCGGAGGATCATCCCTCTCCACGCCCCGCACGCCAGGTCCGCCCGTAAAGGCTCAAAATCGCAGGCACTTAACAAATAATCAGCTCCGCTCTGCTGCCGCTGGGACTTCTCCTGCACGGGCTCCCGAGGTCGCCTTCACCGCTGACTCACGTCAAAGAAACTTCCAAAAATAGTCCCCTCGCCTGCCCCGCTCTCCCTGTAACCCTCGCCCGGGGATGAGCCCCGCGGCTCCCGCTCCCTCGCGGCCACAGAGAGCCGGGCTGTGGCCAGGGCTGGCCAGGGGCTGCCCCACATCAGGGTTTAAAGCCACAGAAATCCGTACCTGGGGTCGGCCGCCGCCTCCGCCTCGGCTGCAGCCCCCGGGCGGCGCCGGCTCTCCCGGGTAAAGAACAGCAACAGCTGCCGGAGGGAGCCGGAGCAAAATAGCGC